ACAATAATAAATTAATTATAAAATATAACAAAGACCAAATTGTATCATAAAACATACTGGTCCGGAATATTCAAAATCAATTACATCATAAAATAACAAAAAAAGAAAATAAATAACAGACTTTGAGGTGTCTTAATATTTCAATATGCAATTGATCTCAAAAACAATAAAAAGGGAAATTAAATAGATTTTTTTTGTAAACTTTGAAAATACAATAATTTAAAAAATTGGGTTTTACTATTTTTTTATGATACAAAAAGATAAGACTTAAAGACATTTTTGTTTGTTCCGACTTTGAAAAAACAATCTTAGAGAACATAAGTATAAAATAAACAAAAAATATCTAAAATACATTTTCAAAAGTATCAAAAATCGCAAAATCGAGAAAAATTCTCGAAAATGACTTAAACAGTCAATATAGTCGCGTTTGTATAAACTTTGATCACCATGAGGTTTTATGGTCACCCGTTGAGTTTCAAGTCGTGCCACTGTCAAAGAAGCAAGATATGAATTCATTATTTGTTATTTTATTTTTTTTATCATTTTCAAACAAAAACAAAGGGCAAAATTGATTTGATATTATCATTATCATATAAATGTTATTGTATATGGTAATCAAATGCTTATTTTGCATTCACTGTTTATGCATTTTTAAATTATGCATTTTTGGGCAACAAACACATAATTTAAATTAAAAATAAAGGGATAATAGAAATTATAAACAAAAAACAAATAGCAAAAAACTTAACAAATAATAAAAAAAATATTTTGAACTATATTATATAATAAAAAAATATTATTTATTAAAATGGAAATTTAATAAATTATAGTTTTGTCATAATAAATTTACAATTTGATAGAATTATCAACAAACATCATTATAACACCATTATCACCATAACACTCATGCATATACTTCACCGACGGTTGTTTATGGTGTTGAATAACGACATCACGATGTTGTTATAACACAAGTTTTTAAAAACTTATCCATAAGTAAAAAAGAAAAAAAAGGTATAATGACCCCTATTTTTATTTTATTTCACGATAATTTTTTTCGAGGTTCAATAAAAAAGCACGTATTGAATGAAATAAACAGTTCCTACTTTATAAAAAACCAAACAAAATAGAAAAATCATTTCATTTTCATTAAAACATTAGAAAGATTGTTCAAAAAATCCACTCGTTTGCAAGGGTGGTAATTTGAGTACGTTTTATACGCGTTTAAGGCAGCTATATCAATCATATCATATCATATCATATCATATCATATAAAGCCCTGATGTTCCACCTGTTTGTTCGACGTCTACACGTATAATACCTGGTCATCTGATCCACAGTGTCAACCCCACCCATTTTTTGGTTGTAATCAAGGATGGGCTGGGGTTTGTGTATTATCATTTTTTCTTTGCCAATGAACACATCCTGCTTGACGACTTCAATTTCATTCTTTTCGTGGCAGGTTGACAAGACCAATACCAGCTTCTTTTTCTCATTGAAGTAAGAGATGAGCTTACACTTTCCTTTCGAGAAAAAGATGGTGGTATCGGGAGTTCTCCCTTTGATGGTCTTTTCTTCGTCAGGAAGTTCTTTCCTATTAATCCTCATGGTTCCCAAAAGTTGGCACCCACATGAAGCAAGGTAGTGTGACAACCTTAACGTACAGAAGAAGTTGTCACACACAACGGTAAACTTGTTACCGCGGCATAACATGGGTAGCACCATGTCCCTGACCACTCTAAAGCCCTGATTGTCCTCCTTACCACCACACTTACCACAGTACATTTGGAGGTTTAGAGTCATTCCTGTCTCACAGTCAGCACACATCTACGAGTTAGAAAACTATAAATAACTCAAATAAACAAATAATTAAATTATTAAATTTGATCATACATGTCAAACCAATAATAACTATTCGTCATTTTTGACTTCATAAATAAAACTCATTTGGTAAAAATAGAACAAACCCAAAACTTTATACCATAACGTCCAGGCTTAGACTTAATAAACACCTTAGCCCACATATGCCCTTTATAAGAACACAAATGTTCGTCAACCGAAATACTATTACTAGGTTTGTAATAGGTTTGGTTGACAAGATTAGAAATAAACTTATCTAAAATCACTCTAATTTTAGAAAAGCTGTCGTGTGCATTTGGAGTTATTGCAGGGACGACTTTAACAACTCCACTACCAACGATGCCCCTTTTGATTCTGACATCTTTCCTGAGTTGCTCTTCAGAGAGATCTCTGAAATCTCGATCTGAATATTCCGCGCAGTTGAAATACTCTCCTTCTGGTCCGTTGTCAGCTTCCTCTTTCTCTTCGACATCCCCATCATCTGAAGTGTCTGATGCATCATCACAAACATCATCTGGCTGGCCCACATCGTAAGTTTTGATGTGTGAAGAAATGAATTTAAACATGTCACGTGGCATGCTATTTCTATAAATAGATTTTCCTTGGTCGATTGACCAAAGCTCTTCCACGGGATTAATGACATCATGGTGAGCTCCCATGTAGAGAAGAATTCCTAGGTACCTCAGGATGCTCGTTTTAGAAAGTTTGTTATCATCAGTCTTATGTTCTTTGGCTATTTTTATATTTGAAAACAACAAAAGGTTATTTGTTATCTCTTCACAAAAAACAACCTAAAACACTCAACTTCAGTTAAATTACTTCCTTTGGGATCAAACGAGTAAGTTGGAGCAGGCGAAGGTTTAACGTGTCGTGAGCTTTTTGGTGCTTCTTTTTCTTTCTTCCATTTAAATGTGCCAACAATCTCGTCTTCTTGCATAAGGTTTATGTTTTTTAATTCGATAAAAAATGTTTGCGATAGAAATATACTGTTTTAATTTAACATATTTTAATATTACAATGATTTACATATATATAATAAATAATAATATTACTACAGTCATGCGAAAAAGCTGT